TTGCTTTTCTGTTCTAATTTCGGAGATTGGTGATTTCCTATAAATAGGTGTAAACCAATGGGTGTAAAACTCGAATTCTCTCCCTTTGACTTGATATATGATAATGAATAAAAGTGATATATTATGTAAAATGTGAAACCTGTCAAGTTTATTATTCTGAGACCTGAGACATATTGATTGTTTAACATCAGTCACAGATGGTAGGGAGGGGGGTTTGATTTACCTTCAGTCACTGTTTAAAAACTAGACATTGAGTGAGATATTTAATCGTGTGACATGTGATACTAGCTAGACTGAAATACTTATCTTACACTATTGACTGGAATTGTCAACTCAGCATCCCTGTTCGAGTGTTTCAATCAGCAAACATAAATATTAAATACATATTATTAGCTCTGTTGACTCTCAGACAAACTTAATGCTTATAAAACGTTATTAGATATGTGGACTCCCTGAAGGGATGTCAAGTTGATAAACCTATATAGCATATTACATTATTTTAGCTATGTGGACTCACTGAAAGGTATTGTGGAGGGCAGATTATAGCCACCATTTGACCTATTATTACTAAATTGAGATCCAAGTTCAATAATACGATTTGATTTCTATTAATAATGATTTATCACTATTTATTCATTAATTACTTTAAATATTTACTCTACCAGCTGATAGAGCTCAATTTCAGTTATCTGTATAGTCATCTAAATATTTACTCTACCAGCTAACAGAGTTCGATTTTAGCTATCTGTATAGTCATCTAAATATTTACTCTACCAGCTGATAGAGCTCAATTTCAGTTATCTGTATAATCATCTAAATATTTACTCTACCAGCTGATAGAGCTAAATTTTAGCAATCTGTATAGTTATCTAAATATTTACTCTACCAGCTGACAGAGTTCAATTTTAGCTATCTGTATAGTCATCTAGATATTTACTCTACCAGCTGATAGAGCTCAATTTCAGTTATCTGTATAGTCATCTAAATATTTACTCTACCAGCTAACAGAGTTCAATTTTAGCTATCTGTATAGTCATCTAAATATTTATTCTACCAGCTGACAGAGTTCAATTTTAGCAATCTGTATAGTCATCTAAATATTTACTTTACCAGCTGATAGAGCTCAATTTCAGTTATCTGTATAGTCATCTAAATATTTACTCTACCAGCTGATAAAGCTCAATTTCAGTTATCTGTATAGTCATCTAAACATTTACTCTACCAGCTGACAGAGTTCAATTTTAGCAATCTGTATAGTCATCTAAATATTTACTCTACCAGCTGATAGAGCTCAATTTCAGTTATCTGTATAGTCATCTAAATATTTACTCTACCAGCTAACAGAGTTCAATTTTAGCTATCTGTATAGTCATCTAAATATTTACTCTACCAGCTGACAGAGTTCAATTTTAGCTATCTGTATAATCATCTAAATATTTACTCTACCAGCTGATAGAGCTCAATTTTAGCTATCTGTATAATCATCTAAATATTTACTTTACCAGCTGACAGAGTTCAATTTTAGCTATCTGTATATTCTTCTAAATATTTACTCTACTAGCTGACAGAGTTCAATTTTAGCTATCTGTATATTCTTCTAAATATTTACTCTACCAGCTGACAGAGTTCAATTTTAGCTATCTGTATAGTCATCTAAATATTTACTCTACCAGCTGACAGAGTTCAATTTTAGCTATCTGTATAGTTGTCTAAATATTTTACTTTACCAGCTGATAGAGCTCATTTTCAGCTCAAGTTTGTACCAGATGATAGAGCTCAATCTCAGCTATCTGTACAGTCATCTAAATATTTATTTTACCAGCTGATAGAGCTCAATATCAGCTATCTGTATAGTCATCTAAATATTTACTCTACCAGCTGACAGAGTTCAATTTTAGCTATCTGTATAGTCATCTAAATATTTACTATACCAGCTGATAGAGCTCGATTTTAGCTATCTGTATAGTTGTCTAAATATTTACTATACCAGCTGACAGAGTTCAATTTTAGCTATCTGTATAGTCATCTAAATATTTACTATACCAGCTGATAGAGCTCGATTTTAGCTATCTGTATAGTTGTCTAAATATTTACTCTACCAGCTGACAGAGTTCAATTTTAGCTATCTGTATAGTCATCTAAATATTTACTATACCAGCTGATAGAGCTCGATTTTAGCTATCTGTATAGTTGTCTAAATATTTACTATACCAGCTGACAGAGTTCAATTTTAGCTATCTGTATAGTCATCTAAATATTTACTATACCAGCTGACAGAGTTCAATTTTAGCTATCTGTATAGTTGTCTAAATATTTACTTTACCAGCTGATAGAGCTCAATTTCAGCTATCTGTATAGTTGTCTAAATATTTACTTTACCAGCTGATAGAGCTCATTTTCAGCTGAAGTTTGTATTCAAAAAAAACTTTTGATCGTGTGTATTTGACAAAAAAAAGTCATAGTTTTGCGTGAAACGTGAGTTAGTTATTTGTCGTCTATAACAACGTCGGTCTACGAGGAAGGAAACTCAAGTGTAGAATTTTACATTTTGGTCGTTTGACAGGAAACAGTTCTTTATTTATTACTCACGATATGTACATTAAACTTGCTTAAAGGGATCTATTCATTGATTTCTTTTGTTGCATAGCCATCTTTTTTTCTACATGATGTCACTTCATTTTAAGACCAGCAAAGCAACATGCTTTAACATTGTCATCGTTTGGATTATTTTGTAATGTAAGCACAGACTCATGGCTATCTATCAGGACACTTTTTATTGATCAATTAATTGGTAGGGCATGAGACGAAACTCATGAACGATGAATGAGATGGTGCAACCCCTATCGTATAAAAAATATTGTTTTGATTGGTTGAATTCATTGCCTCATACGAAATGCTTTGATAACAATTGATAAAGTCATAACTATTATCCTGATCCTTAATTAATAGAGGACATGGTTTAATAACAAAAAACAAATACTGACAATTCCAAAACAACTTCTTGGTAATACATTGACAGAACTTCTATAATTGCTACTTGAAATGGAACCAGTACTGAGCTAACTATGTGTAACAATGTATAATAATCATTCTATAGAATACAGGTTGATATTATGATATATATGATATGGTAGGTTAGTATTTGTAATATTTGTTCTACTATGTGTAACAATGTATTATAATCATTCTATAGAATACAGGTTGATATTATGATATATATAATATGGTACACCTAGTATTTGTAATATTTGTCCTGCTATGTTAACTATTTATTGCACATGCTGTAAATATAATATATTACACAATACCAACAATAACTCATAAAAAACAACAATATATAAATAGTTATTGAAGCCTTTTTACTTTACAGTTTATTCATTTAATCGTTCATTTGTTCATTCTCTATTAATTCATTGCCTCATGTATTAATTCATATATTCATTCAATTATTCAATCTATCAATTACTCATTCAATTATTCATTCAATTAATCAATTACTCATTCAATTATTCATTCAATTAATCAATTACTCATTCAATAAATCAATTACTCATTCAATTATTCAATCAATTACTCATTCAATTATTCATTCATTCAATCAATCAATTACTCATTCAATCATTCATTCAATCAATCAATTACTCATTCAGTCATTCATTCAATCATTCAATCAATCAATTACTCATTCAGTCATTCAGTTCATATCATTCAATCAATCAATACTCATTCATCATTCATTCAATCATTCATTCAATCAATCAATTACTAATTCAGTCATTCATTCAATCATTCATTCAATCAATCAATTACTCATTCAATTATTCAATAATTCAATCATTCATTCTGTCATGTCAAATATTATGTAATAAAAGTAAGAAATGTTCCCAGAGTATTTATAAAGGAAGGAAGGAAGGAAGGAGAGAAAGAGAGAAGGATATATATAGTGATAAAGTTTAATAAATATTTAAAGAAACGGAAATCCAGTCATTAATTATGACTATCAGGATCCTGTTACAGAAAAAAATCAAATCCAATCTATTTGAATAAAGTGAACCACAATCCCATCTTTATAAAGGGGCATGGTTTACTGACGATGTGTTCTGATATGAAAAAATGAAATGTAAACCTTTTAATTAGGAACTCTGACGGTTTCTACAGACTGGGACAAATGATTTGACTCCCTAGTTGTCTGAGATAGGGTCAGAGAGAAACTAACTATCCTCAGACTACCCTGGTATCAATAAAGGTAAATAATATTCAGATCTGATAAAATAAGTTTTTCCCTGAATTAGTCAGAGAAGCTCTGACCCTATTTACAGACTGAAACAAATGATTTTTATGGCAAGGGCCTGAAAGAAACCTACCATTCCTAGACTACCGTAGAATCAATAAAGGTATAAAATATTCAGATCAGATCTATAACTAGGAGTAATATCTGTACGACGTACGTTAATTATCAACCTGTCAAATACACTAAATTACCTTTTATTGAATTCCTCTTATAGATTTGTTTATGTCTGGTGTTTTTAATATATTCATTGCATGCTCTGTAACAAGACTAAGAAATGTGCACAAATAAGATAAAGATGAAACCAAAATTGACACAAAAAGTGTTATATAAAGAGCATTATCTTATACCAATGTGGATACATCAGAGAAGTTTATTTCAAGTAGAGATATCAAGAGTTGAAAATGATTTTGTTATTGACAGAACAATAAATCAACAGCCCTGATCTGAATCCAATAGAATCCCTGTTATTCAACAAAACAAATCAACAGCTCAGTTATGGGAATCCCTGTTGAATAATTTCTGTAGAGTCCTGTTTTTCATACTTGTCATATATTTTTATTTTCTAGCGTGGAGAAATATTTATCTTTCTGGAATATTGAGACATTGCAAAATATACAGAAGCTGAATTAAAAATCACTTTTTTCTTCAAAAAAACCTAAATTATTGGAAAACCTTTAGTATATGTTAGGTTTTTTTTATATCTTGTAGATCTGAGAAATCAGAAGTTTTAACGGAAGATTTACTAACGATAGAAAAACGAGTTGACATCGTAAAACAAGTATGTCAGAACATCTCCAAAAAACTCAGTTCTGGTCTACAGGCTCAGGGAGATACAGTCGAGAAAAGATTGGTAGGTTTTTAACTTTTTATTTTTTTGGTAGAAGAAAGGGGAGAGGAAGGGGGAGAGGAAGAGATCTGAATAATTCATTTAGCTTTGGAGTTAAAAATATAAAGGAAGAGATGAAGAGTATTTGACTTAAAACTTCCCATATTATATTGTGTCATGAATTGTTAAAAATGCTTTGTTTTGCTGAAATCAAGGGTAGTAACTGGCAAGAAAAGCACAAAACGAAACGCCCAGGCCACGTATTCTCAAAACGATCTTAGCGTTAGGATGTCTTAGAATCAATGTTAGAAGATAAGAACCAGACATCCTAGAATCAATGTTAGAAGATAAGAACCAGACATCCTAGAATCAATGTTACAAGATAAGAACCAGACATCCTAGAATCAATGTTAGAAGATAAGAACCTAGGACATCCTAGAATCAATGTTAGAAGATAAGAACCTAGGATATCCTAGAATCAATGTTAGAAGATAAGAACCAGACATCCTAGAATCAATGTTAGAAGATAAGAACCAGACATCCTAGCACTAAGACTAAGATTTTTTTGAGAATATGTGACCTGAACTGCATTTTAATCAGAATGTGATGAAATCGACTAAGAAGGTCATCTATGAATTCTGAGTCAAATTGACCTCTATATTATATTGTGAATGTCAGATTTCTTCATTCAATGACTTTTTTAGTTATTTTTTCAACTAGTTCATATCTGTATTATTATTTTGTAGAAAAAGTTACCAGAGACATCTCTAGCCCATTGTTTAAATGAGGCTTCAGCTTTACTTGGTACTGGTACAGAATCTTTACTAGGGTAAGTTTTATTCTGTTAAAGTTAGGTAGGTTCCCGGGTGGTCATCTGTAATTCTATTGTCAGGGTGTAAAACTTCACCCTCTAAATTGCAATTTAATGAATGTATCTTCTCGTGAGCGGTTGACAAAAATTGCTCAAAATATGTAAGACGTCTTGGACAGACCAGTGTGCGCTGCCACATGACCAGCACATGGGTTTGAATCCTCTAATATTATTCAAAACTAAGCTTAAAGACAACATTAAAGGAGATATTTTTAAATAAGGTGTTTAGAACCTAGCAGATTTGTGTATTATTAACTCGGGATGATCGATTTTTTCTGTATTTTGATAATTTTCTGTTTTCAGTCAGATTTGTCAGCTGTGTGGTGAGGCCCAGAATAATCTGGCAAGAGAACAGTTACAATATGAAATTAATATAGAAAAAGACGTCCTCGGTCCTCTACAGTCTATCTTTGATGTAAGTTAACAATTTATTTTCTTAATTTTGCAAGGTTTTGTGAATTATACTAGAAAATTGAGCTTACTCCAGAAATTGGAAAGGTGAAAGAAAGTTCATTCTTGCTTATCAGAAACTATTTTGAGGATATTATTGTTTCAGGCACTATTTTAACATTTCCAATATTTCTATATCGCTCTAGATATAAAGTATTGAACATTATTTTGAATATTTTGTTATTATTATTGTGTTGTTGTTTGTTTGTAGGTTGATTTACCAGCTATATTAAAAGCTAGAAAACATTTAACTAAAACAACACTAGATATGGACTCGGCTAAAGGACGGTATGTCTACATATAATTATATTCTATTCAATCTTGGTCAAATCTACAAACTTGATTGTCTTCATTAGCCCAATTAGGTGCAGAAGAGTAGGACGTAAAACTCATTTCATTTCATTTACAAATTTGTCTTTCATAATCATAACAGACCAATAGAACAAGATAAATCATTTTTCCAAATAAAAAATTTGACATTTCAGACATACGACTGCTGTGAGACAATCTCAACTACCTGGTACCAACATCGCTAACGCGTCTGCCAAGGTTGATCAGATCAAAGAAGAGTTGGAGGAAGCAGAATCGAAAGTAGAATACGTAAAGGTAGGAAATAGCCTGATAATCTTTTATTGGAAGTGTCCTTATTCAGACCAAAGAAAACTTTCAAATCTCCATTTTAATCAGATTGGCTTTAATTGTGCCAGAACCTCATTCATATTGGCACGCAACATTTTGATACGCTCTTTCTGTTGTTCCTGAATCACTTATTAGACAATGTAGTAGAAAATAATTTCTTACAATTATTTAAGCCCATTGAATTCATCATAGGTTATAGATTTTCTGTAAAAAAGAAATTTTGTATTTTTCAGGATAGCTTAGCGATAGAAATGTCTAATTTTATTGCTAAAGAAACAGAACACAGTCAGAAACTTTTAGCGGTAAGTTTAAAATCAGGAATTTGATTATAATGAGAAATGTTTTATGTAAACAGAATTTGCTGAGTGGACTCTCTGAAAGGGATGGTAACTAGAGTAGCACCAGCTGTTTAAAAAGAGAAAGCCCTGCATCGTAAATAACAACCACCATATTGATTATTTTAATGGAGATCATTAAATAAAGTTATGTTATATTTTTTAGCTGGTAGAAGCGCAGGCTGCGTATCATGAAAAAGCCTTACAAGCAATTCAAGCTGTGATACCCAAGATGCAACGTTCAATTGGTAAGGAAAGATTATTTTGAAAATTAAGTGATAACATTAAAGTAGGCTACTAAAGAGGAGGAGGCATGGTGAAAATATTGTCTGAAGGATATTAAAGTAGAATACCTTTAAGGGTTTGGTAATGATATTCTTGATTGCTTAAGATATTTATCATGAAAGGGAATTAAAAATTTACTTCATCAAGTGATTGAACCATCCATTTGAACTATTTGTATCCCTTCTCAGACAGTTATAACTAGTGACAGATACCGTCAAAATATTACAACAAATATTTAGACGATTTTATACCTTTATCATATTCACAGAACAATTTTAACTATTTACAGAAAATAACCCGACTAAACCAGTATTTGGGAATTGTTTGGAAGAACATCTACGAGTAACGGGAAGAGATATAGCTGTTGTTTTAGAGGCGTGTGTTGTTACTCTACTCTATACTGGAATGAACGAGGAGGTAGGCGCTTGTGGGTTTGAATCTTCAGGCCTACATATGTTTGAGCTATAATTTATATTTTTAACTTAGGGAAATCTAATATTTGTTTATGAAATTCACTGTCACATTCACCTAGATTTCAGACATTCTCCTCCCAAAAAATACTGTGCAATTGTTCTCAATATATTTGATATTTTTTCAGGGATTATTCCGAATAGCTGGTGCTGCTTCTAAACTTAAAAAATTAAAGGTGAGTTAGATGTGGATCTTTGTCTTGAAATTTGGATCATTCCACCAGTCAGTGACCCAGGTCAGACATTTAATATAGTTATTTGAATAAACAATAAACATATGTAATTGGTATAAATTGTATTCTAAGATTTGAAGGTGTATTTTTCAGGCATGTTTTGATGCTAATATAGTTGATATGGAAGAATTTAGACATGATCCTCATACAGTAGCAGGTAAAATATTTTACATCCTTATTCATGAATTTTCACTGTTTACCCGTTATTTACCCGTCATTTACCCATTATTTACCCGTTATTTACCACATAGTTTCAGATGTTTTTCTACGGATTCTTCATTGAAAATACCTCGAGTAAAAAACAAAAGGATTTTCACATTTGTTGTGATTTTTCAACATAATCAGTAATATGACAGTTTCAGATAGATATAACTGGCAAAGGTGTTGAATTTATTAACATTTTGATGAATCATGTAAAACGAAATTTATGACAATTCAAGTATTTTGTTGTATGTTCTGTTTTAGCCAAAGCTTATTGAATATTTGAAAACTATATTGTTGTTTTTACAGGTACATTAAAACAATATTTACGAGAGTTACCAGAACCATTGTTAACCTATCATCTTTACGTTGAATTCATGCAGGCTGCTACACTGTAAGTTTACAGGCATTTACTAATAATGAATACCATATTATTCTTTATGACAACTCATATCAAACAGTACAGCAAATCTCAGTTCATGCCATGTTTGTTATTGAGAAGAGGTAAAAATCTGAATGGATGTTTTCAATTTGTGATATAAGTTACTTACTAAGTTAATATCAGACATTGCAAGTTGCTCACCGAATTGGTATTTCTTTAATTTTCAAATATTTATAATTGTTGTTATTTCAGTTCAAAAGAAAAGATTGTACCAGCTTTAAAACCAATTATAGAAAAGTTGCCGCCCCCTAATTATAATAATTTTAGGTACGATTTTCTTTATTTCTGGTTGTACCTGTCACATATAGTTAAATCATTCCAGTATGTTTTCATAGATAGAGCTCAATAGTTCTTGAAAATTAGCTTAACTATAATAGATATCTTGAGCTTGTCCACCATACTGAGGTGTTCTTTAGAGATTTTTCACGTATACCCATCATAATTTTGATAATGAATAATTCTAAAATATGTTTTCAGATATTTAATAAAGTTTTTAGAGAAATTATGTAAGAGTTCAGATCAGAATAAAATGACTCCAACTAACATCGCTATAGTGATAGCACCTAATTTACTCTGGTCAGATGGCGAAAATGCGTAAGTTTCTATATATTTTGTATTGTGGTACAATGAGTAATGAAATAACTATCTGTTAGGAATAGATGAGGTCCAGTATGGGATACTTGATATAGGTGAATTAAATTCAGGAATCCTGGATCCAGACATGATACAGACATGATACAGACAGACATGATACAGACATGATACAGACAGACATGATACAGACATGATACAGACATGATGGTTCTATTATTTTTTAATGTATTGACAATCTCAGACTGTATGCCTTCCCAGAATTCCAAGCCCTATCTATACATAAACCTATGGCTGAAAATTATAATCATTATAAATATGGAGAACTGTGATGGGTGGTTTTTAACAATGATAGATGTTTTTTAACGTTTTAAATATGTTTATATTTCAGTCCCAACATGTTAACAACAGGATCTCTATCTACCATAATAGAAGCTGTAGTTAGTAACGCTGAATATTTCTTTCCTGGAGGTTCGTACATGTTTATATTTTATTTTTAAAATTAAATGGTCTCTTAAAAGCAGAGAGCACATGTAACAAAAACACATGGAATATAACGAGCCATTTCATAAATCCACATTGAGCAAGCGCATACTTCTATTAAAGGGAGGTAATTCAAGGTCATTACAATCCCACAATGCATCACGTGTTATTTCCTATTCACTGGCAATATACTGGAAGTAATCGGAATTCCAGACTGGCTTATTTGGTATAACTGACTTCTATAATAACAGAAGACAAGAATATATTTTGTTATTAAGGAAGTCAGTTATACAATAATATATTCCCTTGTGTTTTCTGTTATATCTTTTTCTTATCTACTGTTTGATTTGTTTGTCAGACCAGGGATGTTATTTTGACATTATTTGCCGTACGTTTTTAGGCAGTGAAGATATTTCATGAATGCTATTGTTCTATAAATGAAAAACTACATCATTCAGATATTTATTTTAATAGTTGAACATGACCGGCAAATAAAGTCAAATCTACATATCTGGTTTTGTTTTCATGTATTTGAAATTTAACGTATAAGATAGAATTTTTGAATATCCATCTCATGAGAATTACTGTTTATAACTGTTTATCTATTGAAGTAATATTGTGAATTGTTGTTCCATAGAAGAGGGTCAAACACGTTTATATTGTGATATTACTACTTCGTTTAAGTGACATTTCTAAACTTGGAATCTTAGAAATACTTACCTGTCTTTGAGTAACAAGATGTTGGGAACTTATTGTTAATGTTTCTGAAGAATATGTCAAGCTCTGACAACCTGGAAATAGTTTCTATAAACAATGATAGGTGAAGATGTTAAGCTATGACTTCTTGTATAAGATTAAAATTCTTAAGACATGGATTCTTATGGAGCCTTATTCTTGAAAACTTCATTTTGACTGAAAATGATATCGTTTTGATATCATATGTCCACAGCTAGTTACTTTATTTTATCACAAAGACATGGATTCATATCATCTGCTTTTAGAGTTTTAGTCACTTTGAGCTAGCTTTACGCAGACACATTCAATTTGAAACAGCGCTTAGATATTGCCTTAGAAAGTGTCAATAAAATAACTATCATCAGCTAGTATCATTTTCTTGCTTCATTCAGCAAAATTAAATCAAGACTAAAGTTTAAGTGGCCAAGGTTTTTTTTGATAAAATGGGATAAAATGCGTTTTATACCCCATTCTCTCCAAGAGTTGCTAGCGAGCTCGGATATTTTGGGTACGCACTTTGGATGAATTTTGTTGAAATTATTTATTAAATTTCTCGCCAAGCATTTTGTTTTGGGCAAACTTGGTAAATTAGAAACTCTATCTGTTTTATTTTTTGTATTTCATTGATTATTGTTAGAAACCTTTTTTTTTTCATTTCTTGAATTAAGAACATTTTAAGACGTTAAAATAAAAAGAAATGGCATTGTATTGTGTCAAGTAAAATTAATTTCATGCAGCCATACTTTGATGTTGTAGTTTTCAGAAGAACACAATGAAATGACATTTATAGGGATTATAAAGAGGTTTCTAGTCTATGTTAGTTATCAGGGATACTTATGGCGATGAGCTGTCACTATTCTGGTGTCCCATCCATCATCCGCGATTTCTGAAATTGTATCATTATATTCGGGCAGAAGGTATAAGTATCCTTGACATACATTCAAAGGTTAGAAAACCTTTTAGCATTCCTTTAACCAAATGTATAATGATCACAATGATCAGAAGATCCTGGCTTGACAATAAGGAGTTATGAGGATTTAAAGGAATTTAAAAAGTAATGCTATCATCGCTTCTTAGCTTTTAATATTGGTCAGTATAGAAATACACAAACATGTATTTCGATATTGTTATTTCATCTCATAATGCTGATGCGATCATTTTTTTGGAAGCCTGAGTCAATTTTGAATTACAAAAATAAATTTTTTTAACTGCATTGCTCACAATAATCATGTTACCAATCAGTTTTTATAAAGAATTCCTAATTTTTTTCCCTCCAGACATAGATTTTACTAAAACAAAGAAAGGATCGGCTCCAGCCATGTCGAAGGAAAATGTGAACAGTGTAACGTGTGAACAGGACAAAAACTCTGAACAGTCTCCGTTGCTACGTTCAATCAGTCGGCAAAGCTCAAATAGAAACAGTCGATTAGATTTCTATAATCAAGTTGGACAAAGTGCAACAAACTCACAATCTAGTTTCCATGGTGATTTATTGTGTGACAGACGGTCGGAAAGTGTCAGTGAATCTAGTGATATTCTATTGGATAATAACCTGTCATGTGACAATCTTTCATTGGACGATTCTTTATCGGCAACAGAAGGTGAAAATAAATCTATAAATAGTTCTCGGACTAATTGCATTTCTAACCAATCGCCAATTAGATATATTAACCAATCAGGGAACAGCTCACCTAGATCCCGCTCAGTTCCGCCGACACAAGTTGATAAAAGTTTCCATTCAGATTATTATAGTACGGTCACAGCCCTGCAGTCGCTGGGGTCAAACACAGGGTCATGGTCGGATTATTTTAGCAAAGTTCAGGCGGTTCGTGATGAAACTTTTCATCACACGCCTTCTTCTCCTCCTATTGGCTCCAGAAACTCATCTCGAGGGGACTTAACTCCTCCCATCATTGTCTCAAACACCAGCCTTGGGGATACGAAGGAAGAAAGTAAAGGGAAAGGTGAAGGTCACAATATGACCTCTGAGAAAGGTTAGAAACATTCTGACTCTGGTAACCGTAGTTTCTCGTAGATGTGGGGCTCCATTTTTTGGTTTCGTTATGTTCGGGCATTTTAATTTTATTTTGCTATTTGTGTAGATTTATTTTTAACTTAAAACTTTAGAATTAGACGTCTGCCTTCACACTCGTGACTTTGAACTTTGACCTAAATGTCTTCTTGTTCATTAAAAAAAAAAAACAGCTTTTAACTTTAAAATTTGTTTCTTGAGTTTTGGTTTGTTGCTCAATGTAAAACCAGAATAACTTTTTAACTCCAAAATTTCTTGATTAATCGCCTTTTATTTTGAGCTTTCAATATTTATCCAATGAAAAACGTAGAATTAATTTTCCTCCAAGTGATATTTTGCAATCAGAGTGTTTCTGTGCCTTTTGTCACCCTTTGCTTGCTTCCTTCTCTCAGCTTTTGGGGCATTATGGGACATTTTTATTTTGCTTTCGAATAATTAATTTGCTTTGTGAAACTTTTCCAACTTGTGATGGCTAATATTTGTGCTGCGTTTTTCTGTTTAGCTTTGCATGTTTATTTAATATTTGAATATTTATACTGTTGATTTCTGACTGCCTATGTCTTGCCTATTTATTTAAAGAATTGTAAAAAATTAATTCGTATGTTGTTGATTGAAAAAAACAATTTTTAGTTGACTTGTTCAAAGTTTAAGAAATTTAAAAGTGGGGAAAAAAAAAAGAAAAAAAAAGATCTGTTTCTGCTATATTTTGATCAGTAATATTGATTTAACTTTAAATGAAATTTATTAAAAATTTTGCACTTTTTTGGTAGGCAATATTCTTTTTTTCTAAAGTTTTCTATTTTTTCAATATTTTTCAACTTTTCTCACAAAATCCATGACTGAATTTCAAACTCCCATTTTCACTTTTTCCCGTTCACAATATATAATTTTTACTTTCATTTTGACCTCACTTTTCATTTTAAGATTTCTAAAACTTTCCAATTTTACAGACCTGAGTAACTTACATGACTTATTTTAAAGGGTGAAGGGATCATGCCCCAAATATATTAATATACTCCAAAATAACACTAGCTTTCAATTTGATTTTTTATTTTGAAAGCTCCACATTAAAGTTCTGAATTTAGAATCTAATTCACTTTTTCATCAGCTGGCACAGTTAAGTGGCTAACTAAATGGTTAGGTAATTTCTCTACCATGTGACAATTTGACTGACAGCTAGCAATTGGTTCTAATTACTAACTTCTATTAATTAAATCAAGATATTTGGTTACTATGATGATATATTACTAATATTTTTATTTGAAATGTTTTAATTGATGAATTCGATAATTAAAGAATAGGTTACCTAGGTTACTCACCTGTATTCTAGTATTTTATAAGAATTTGTTGGTTTTGTTTTGTATCTTGAATGAATTTAGAATTTCTTATTTCATTTAGAGACACTAGTCTGCATTTTGTCCATTTTTTATCACATTTTCACTGTTTTTATTTGAATCCCCTTACAGCCAATTTCAGACTCCCTGGTCAGTGCTTTTGAGCAGTGACTAGGGATCAGGTATAGTGGAGCAGAAATATTCATATCCAGGGTTGATTCAACCCAAGTAGACACAATTTATTTTGAGGTATAATGAATAGTAATACAATTTACAAATCTTGGGACCTTCCTCGAAAATCTAGTATGGTATCTCTGAATGTAAAAATCATATTATTTTTTGTGCACCAGGTCACTGATTTGTATAGTTTTCATTTGTATTTATTCTATCTCAAAACTAATTGATGGGTCTGTTCTATCTGAAAAAAGCCCTCAGATTTTTGTGAATACTGTTGCTCATCCTATACCAGCATTTTAACTAGTTTTGAATGAAACTGTCAGTTCATTTATTTGTCTGGAACCGAAATTAACAATTACATTAATAAGAATATTGTTAAAAATATTTTAGAAAATTAACGTCTTTATCATTCTCATATCATAAAGTGGAATCATGAAATTTTAAAATAATTTTGTTATGATGCTATTATTTTAATTTATTTTGTGTTTAGATTTCAGATGAAGTTAATAATTCTAACTTTATTAAAATATTTAAAAACAAAATCTCTTCTTCATTTCAGAAATTGATTTTCAGAACGTAGGCGAACACACACCACCTAGTATGAGCCCAGTTACAACACGAGATGTACGAACCTCGGAACCAGAGACAACTCTAGCGTCACAAGTTAGTAATCTACTAGCACCCCAGGCCATGGTACGCCCAGTCAGTCCTGCCCCTATATCACCCAGTGGGAGCAGTAGTAATATTGTACAGAGTACCATGTTGACTGAGAATCAGAGGTAAGCTTTGATATCAAGAATCTTCATAAAGATAAGCTGTTACTAACACTAATACCTTGACATCATAGGACACTTTTCTTGTATCACTGGAGTTTTGAAAATGCGGTGATTTGATTGTACTCTATCAAATACAGTTAACAATATGACTGTAGCCTACATGTAAATATTAGTCACAGGTTCTGATTGGCTTTATACTGGCTAGCATACAATCAAATCAATTGGCTGCGTTTACAAATTTCTGTAATACAAGAAATATACCTAATAATGATAACGTATTAAACGGAGTTTGTAACAGCTTGACATTGTGTTTCATTTTGTATTTTCATATATAGAATATATAACTTTTCTCATTCAGAGAGTCCATATTGTTTATTTGGTATCTAGGTTTGTCAACACAGCATTCCTTTCAGAGAGTCCATATTGTTTATTTAGTATTTGGGTTGTTAACTTAGTATCCCTTTCAGAGAATCAACATAGCTAATAATCATTATTTTATATTGCTTCATAAAATTTTTCAGTCCTGAGCAACCAGGAGCAAGTCCAAAGATGCAAAGACGAATGCCGAAAAAATCAGCCCCTCCTCCCCCTCCCGACAGACCATACTCAGTTGCCGTGACAGCCACAGTTAACAAACCAACCAACAATCAGTATCAAACATGGCCGAGACATCACCCAGCACCACTAGCGTCACCAGAAACAGGACATCCAGAGTTACAACCCTTGGAGGAAGTGACATCTGCTCGTCCGACTATACCAGATCGACCACCATTTCCTACGAGACAAGGTAGTCATCCTCCGGAACGACCTGAACGGCCGAAAGCGCCACCACCATCTGTTCCACAAGGTCATAATAGGTCGTCGTCGACTGGCGGAATGATAGTTCCGCCTCCACAACCAAATCTTCAATCCCATAATTCAGCTTCAAATGGCCAAGGTTTGTTGACTTCTGGTGAAAGTTTGAATAACGAAGAAATTTTACTAACCCCTGAGGAACCTCTTGCATCCTCTCCTCCTATATCAGACAAGCATGGTGGTACCCTCACTAAACATCAGCACCGAATGTCACGCCCCACCCCACCACCCCCTCCCCCTCCTATCAATAGGGAGTCTGAAGAAACCCATCTGTGACCGTCTGCCATGCTATAGTCTGTTTCTATTTTTTCTATTTTTTGTATCCATAATATTATTCTGCACCAGTTGCATTCAATTATCTAAAACCGTTTTAAACATTTTGTTTCTTTTCACCATCACAAGTTATTTGTTTCTATACCACAATTCTCCATGAACACTGTCAAATTATTACTGAAATCTTTCTCAATCATATTACAGAAAATACAGCTCTATAAAACAACTGTTTTGCTGTCTTTTAACCAAAATTATTCACAAGTAGAGTTAACAGTAATATGCTTGCAAAATTTACACCAAAACACCTTTCAGTAAAAACATTGATGAATTTTACAGTGTTGAGACCTTAACTATTTTATTGCTGTTATAAACTTAAAGGGATTGTAAAGAGTTTTTCTGAATTTTTTATGTGTATCGGGGAGACTGATAGCATCAATTTACACCATTCTAATTTTCATTCTGTGGTTCTTGAAATTCCAAACGTTTTATGACGTAACTAGAGGGGAGCTACCGGAAGCTAATATTAATACCTATGTAGTTCCCCTCTAGTGACATCATAAAACAGGTTAGTTTTAGTTGAATTTCAAGAACCACAGACGTCTGATTAAGAATTGGTTGGAATGGTGTAAATTGATGCTATCAGTGTCCCCGATACACATACAAAAGTTTAGAAAACCTCTTTACAATCTCTTTAGATTTAGATTTATCTGAAAAATGTTCATTGTTCAATATTGGATATCGATGCCTTTTGTATCAAAAACTTCTAAATTTGTCTAAAACAGTATTGAAATTTGGACATAATTTTGTACAAAAACTTCTAAAATTTGGTTAAAATAATGTTGAGATTTGGACATTATTAATTTTTGTACCAAATTATTCCCCATGTGACTAAAAGTGTACAGTATTAGAATTTAATAATTCTATCTAAGTGTTCTTCAGTCTATGTCTGTGGTAATATTTTTATCAAAGTGCTTTAATCTATCTGTAATGTGATGATTCTGTGTTAATTAGCTTGTTAAAATGTTGGTTAGTCGTGTTGAGATTTTAAGTCATGTATATAAATAAAGATTGTAAATTTTATAACTCTAAGTATTAAGATGAGCATAAAATATTAAACAATTCACATTTCAAAACATGTCAAAATTTAACAACAGGTGCCCTCACACTATAGTGATTAACTAGTTGTGTTTGGTTGTGAATAATCAAAGTGATCATGAGTTCTGAATGCAATCTAACAACTCAGTTAAATGAGAGTTGTGATTGAAACTTATGATAGCTATTCTTATTCACAACCATCTGAACTGGTGATCGCTATAGTGTTAGGGCACCTTTATGATAAGTTGTCTAATTCAAAGATGCTCTATTCAGCCAGTCATGTCTAATTAGAGATGTTAAGTGCTCAAATAAGACATCCATATTTGGGACAATACTAGTTTTGTGATATTATGAAAGTTTGCAACATTTGCATTTTTAGCAACAAAAAAGAAATTTTGATGAAAGATATATTTGAAATGTTGATGTATAAATGTAAATATTAAGATGTATAAGATGAAGTATTAGAAGTCTATGATAGTTGACCTGTATACACCGCGATCATCTTGTCTAGAAAATACACTAGTATTTATTATTGATATCAGTCTAGTTGTATTACTGGAGAGTATGAGGCTACAATTCACAAATATTAGAACTATAATAATATCTTGATATCGTTAGGCACTTAACTTCTATCATAGAAATTATTCTATGCTGCAATTTGATTGGATGATACCCTGGCGAATACAGCCAATCCTAGCCCTTGACAAAAGGCATCTTAATACTAATTCTTGTCTGCATTATAGACGCCATTTCTTTAATGAGGCTATAGATTTATCTCTGACAAGGGAGATTAATGGTACATTCAAAATTTGTCAACATATATCGTACAACTTTCAAACAAGATAAGTGCAGTATGATGTCAAGGTATTAGATGTAGTTGGTATTAACTTGATATGTTGAAGATGGTCCATCATGTGATAAAAACACCAGAGATTCCTTGTTAACAGAAAGAGATTGTAAATATTTAAATTATAAACTTTGTGATATGGAAATACATCATGGGAGACATTAGTCGACTAGAAACATAGATAAGGTTTTAGAATAGTGGGAATTAGTAAAAATCGTGTGACTTCGTATGACTTAAAGGTTTTTTATAGACAGGAGAGTTCGTTTTGTCATCAAACTAATCGTTAGCAAGTTTTATGATGGCTAATTTGTAATACTACCCAGTTTAGGTTTTTATTTATAAGATTATTTTTAAAACAATCAAACTGGGATAAGGTTCAGAATTTTTAAACGCTTTATAAATAGCTTGGTATTGAAACATTTTCTCAATCACAAATCACAATCAATAATATTTGTTGTTTTGGGGTTTTTGTAATAAAAGGGATGAGGCCTATTTCTTTATTTATGAATTAGATTGGTCAGCCATCATTTTTTTTTCTCTCATCTTTGTAAATGACATTAATTAATATTTTAAATCATGGTAGAACATATTGATATAATTTCATCCAATCTCAAAGTTTTTTAAAGTTTATGTATAAGAAATTAAGGAACCAGTTTTTAAACTCTACATTAAGATTGTTGAGTGAAATATAAAGATTAACTGATCGTTGTTTGATGTCGAGTTATAAATATTTTTAACAGAAATGTTATGATATGTTTCTATTCATGAAATATTTTGATGACTTTTTAGCAAACACTATGTTTTTATAATTTCTATTTTTAGATATAGACATTACAACAGAAGAAAGCCATCTGTAAGCAGTGAAATCAGTTAAATTTTAAAACTCTTGCTTTGATTTCCAGCATTTTATTATAACTGGTACATACATACAGCTTCTATACGCTTTATTTTTATGGGACTGTATATTCTTATTGAAATTTCAAACTTTTACATTCTGAGAGTTTTAAAGATAAAATAATACCTTTAATGCATTTGTTTACTTTGCTCATACAGATAAAGTCAAATATTTCAATGGTAACAAATTTTGTCATTTGTCCTGATGAGGATTGTGTATCTGAAATGTGTTTTGGCAACTAATACGATCCCTGTCAACTTAAAGGTTTTATTTATCCTTTTTAAGACAAAATAAAAACCGGAAAAATTTGACAATTTAGCTCGCTAGTCTGACAAATGGTTTCCATTTTCAAGAATTGAAAAGTTTGAAATTTCACTAAGAACTAATTAGTATTTTAATTATTCGTCTATTTTCTTTTTTTCTCTAGGGTCAAGGTCATTATTTATATCCTATTGTGCACAAACTACCACATAACTCGCTGTATTTCAGTATTGATATTATTAGCTATAGTCGTGTTAAATATTCATACATTTCCGAGCTCAATTTACAATATAAACATGATTAGTCCACTTTTATTTTGAGGTAGTATAAGTAATAATCAACTCAATATAAGTTTAGTCTGTATAGTTGCTATTACTATATATTCTACCTATAAATATAGTAAACTGTTTGTGTTTATGTTTAGTATTGCCCTGGGATATGTATTGAATATATTTACTGGACTGTTCAAGTAGAGCTTATGTTAATTATTACCATGCTGGACTAAAGTGGAATAACTCTATTGTTTTTTTCCTGACAATTTTATACAAGATCAAAATTTTATATATTGGTTGAAATGACTGGTGTTAAAATGCCCAGCTTTTTAAAATACTGAGATATAAAACTTATAACTTTAATTGTCAAGTCCTTGATGTAAATGTTATTGGATCAATCTGAAGGAAACAGTACAAAACATTTTGTTATATAAAATTCTGATATTGTATCTATATTAAAATTAAACAATAGGGTATAATAGATATTTTGCTTGTTTAGAATATCAGATATAGAACTGGAATGATGATTATATTTATACTGTGGTTTATACTGAAAGATAAAAGAAACCTCATATAGATGAATTATATCTTTATTTCAAATGCATTTAGAATAAGTCAGTAAAAGTCAGTGAAAGTCAGTGAAAGTCAGTGTTAAAAAAAGAAACAAAAAGAAGCAGTAGAATGTTAAATGAGTTTATTGACCACAGAACTTGTCTGCTAGTAACTTACAGTGTCTGCTAGTAACAGCTAGTGTCTGCTAGTAACTGACAGTATCTGCTAGTGTCTACCAGTAACTGCCAGTGCCTGCTAGTAACTGCTAGTGTCTGCCAGTAACTGCCAGTGCCTGCTAGTAACTGTTAGTGTCTGCTAGTAACTGCCAGTGCCTGCTAGTAACTGCTAGTGTCTGCCAGTAACTGCCAGTGTCTGCTAGTAACTGTTAGTGTCTGCTAGTAACTGCCAGTGTCTGCTAGTGTGTCTGCTAGTGTCTGTCAGTGTCTGCCAGTGTCTGCTAGTAACTGCCAGTGTCTGCTAGTAACTGCCAGTGTCTGCTAGTAACTGCCAGTGTCTGCTAGATTTTATCAGTATTTTCATATGACGTTCCTTTTACCTTTCAGTATATTATTATTATTATTATTTCCCTTGTAGATTGTAGATTTAACTATAATTTAACTATAACTTTAATTATATTAACACTAATTATTTTATTATGGTGGGAAGTTAATTAATTTTCTAATTATTTTTTTAATTAATAGCATGATGCATGATAATTAGTCAGTAATTAACCACTAACTTCTAACTCCTTATTTGGGAAAAATTTAAATTTTGCACACTCCAGAGAGTAACACTTTTTTATGACAAATTTTCAAACACTTTTCTAGAGATGAAATTACAAAATTCTTGAAGCAAACAATGTGTTGAATAGGACTGGTAGCAAGAAGGGAATATTTAGATTTTCATATTTATACCAAAATTGCGTCTAATTCTAAACTGTCACATCAGCAGTTTAAATTTCAAATAGCTTAGATCTAGCATAACAAATATATGAATTTAAAAGATATACAATTAATTGATAATTAGCGAATAAATATAATTAAAATTTAACAATTGATGTTATTAATAGTAATTGGTATGTAGACAGATTTTAAATTTCTTTTATTTGGTAAAAACAAGTCAATTTGAAGTTATTTGATAAAGTTATTCACTAGAAATAAGAATTGTTGATAATGTACTGATCAAACCATTATCAGACATTCTGTAATGTTTAAATCATGTTGTCATCTCATAGAGAACATTGTCTATGAATATAGAAAGTTCTAGGCCCTGTGGGCATCCTCTCTAGGTTAGAATGATACAACACACCCAATAATATCTAGATATTGAGAAAATATCCTTTAATATAGAGTTACTGAGAAATCAAAGATCTGTCTACATCCAAACTTTATTTTTAAATAATATCAAGATCTCAGGGTACTAAAAAGGGGTTCGGACTGACAGCTGTCAGATTCAAAATGGAAGGTCTGAGAAGGTTATCTCCCCTAAAAATTTTGAAAACCAGAATGGATTTAGAGCATTTCAACATGATTTGGGCAAAATTGTATAAATTTAATATTTTGAAATTTGTTAAAAATGAAGTAGGGGGTACTATTGGGGTAATAAACTATTTTTCTGTGGGGATAATACCCCCTCTCACCTCACGATCTCCCACTGGTGTCGCCACTAACTGTCACATGACGATGTTTAGAGATTTTGATATTTTTAAAAGTTTGTGTTGTAACATTGTAATAATTTGTGTTGTTTTATTTCTGTATTTTCAGGAAATGATAAAAAGTATTTCAGCACTTTAGTTTAGCATGGTAAATTATTCATATTGTTTATTTTTATATTTTATTTTTTACTGACTGGCTGGTTTTTATTGTTCACATTGCTTCTCTTTTAAACGTTTCTTTTATCTTTTACAAAAAATATGTTGTTTATCATTTTAAGACAAGGCTGGATATAGTATCAACTATTTGACACCCCTTGAAATTCTATTGAACTCTTCCACACATGCATACTTCTATCAATTCAATACTGTATATGTATGATTGGAAGAGCTCATTCATAAGATAAGGGGTGTTTTTTAAACCTTATATCCAGTCTTGTGAGAGATCTTTTATGCATGAATTCAAACTTTGAAACCGTTGTTATGGTTATAAATTATGATTGTTCTTTGATCAATAAGCACATGTAACACTAAAGAAATGCCTTAAGACAATAGATGAAGATTAACAACTAGTAAAAAGTAAAGCTTTCAAAATTTTCTTTTTAATCAAATCTTTCATTAATGCATGAAGAGAAATTGCTCCCAAAAAATACCACAATAGCTTCCATTCTTAATTAAATCTTTAACTCAAAGCATGTAGGAAAAGTTCAACAAAAAAAAAACAGCTTTCAAAATGCCCTGGATAGTTTTGAATCTATAATTGAAGTTATGCATGTAGCTGAATTGCTCAAAGAAATTATTGTTAGTCAAAATAATGCCTTTGATCTCAAACAAATTCTTGCCTTGATAATTTCTTTTTTAAATAAAAGTTCTACAGCATATTTTATCTTCCAGAATGAAGAGTTTTCTCATTTACCTTGTAAAATAGTTTTTATTATGCTCTGATCACCTTGTTTTAAATGTTTTTACCTTTTACACTCTTTTTTTGTAACTATAGGCTGTTTTAAATCATACAAAATTGTGTCTAACTAACATGTCCAACCCACTGGCAGAATTAGACTAGAACATACCAAGCTATAATGTCTAATTAGCTAGCAGATTAACAATTTGTTTTGTGGTCAGAATGAGACTATTGGGTCAAATTAGCCGATAGTTTGACGCTACAGTACAGTTGTTTTCAGTAGTAGCCATATTTGCTGAATGTTTTACGATGACCGACCGTACAGTGGACGTTCGCTGTTTGTTATTGTGGACTGTAGAAATATTCATCGCTGGATTTATGGCTTCGACATTCAAATATAAATTTGTTAGAATTTTTTTTTGTTTTTGATAATATTTTCATGTACATATTGGTTGAAAGAAGCCAACATGGAAATATTTTAGCTTTGTACCAGACAGAAGTTTTTGTAATTTAATTGTGTTAAAAAATGTTGATCATGCCTCATGCTTTGGATGTTAAAATATTTGATAAGTATGATAATTATAGATATAGTTGTGGATAGTGGGCTTGGCTTTAGTGTGTATCACGACTGCTGATTGAACAGCTCTCATTCCTTCATGTTAAAAGTTTATAATGTGTCAGCCTGTTTAAAGAATTCAGCATAACATTTAAGACATCGTGCAGCTGTTTTCTAAAAGTTTTATGTGTATCAGGGACACTCATCGATGTGCACCATTCCAATTTTCTCAGATGTCTGTGGTTCCTGCAATTCCACTAGGACTAGGTGTTTTATGACGTCACTATCGCAAAGGTTACTATTGTCAATAACAGCTTTTGCAATAGCAACGTCATCAAATACTTAGTTTTAGTGGAATTACAAGAACCACCGACATCTAAAGGAAAATTTAAATGGTGTAAATTGATACTATCAGTGTCCTCGATACACATAATTTTTTTAGAAACCTTTTTACTAGTCATAGTACAATTGATGTATGTTTTGTTGTTTTTGTGTTTTTTACCAACATTAATTGGAAGATCTGAGGCCACACAAATCAAGTTAACGATTGACCAATCAAATTACTGGAACCAGCATCAATAGTGTATAGACCGTATTCTGAATTCTAAATCAACTGTTTTGTATGAAAAGATTGGAATGTTCACAAAGAAAGCTGGTTTATTGAATCATGGAATCTTTCATAATTCTGTAGAATCTGCAGTATGTGCCTTCATCCCCTGTCACCCCTTTTTCACTGCCTTGTAACAGTCAGCCTGTAGGACCGATATCTTCACGAATACAGATTCCTTGTAGACTATCAAGAGTTAAGGTGGTACCACCAGATAGTGAATGATTGTACCATGGAGACCATTATTCATGGAGTAAATAATTCACTGTCACTCTTTCACTTAACGAACGAATTTACTCTTACAAATTAATATCAAGGACTCTGTTAACAAATAAACCTATGATTTTTCTCAATGTTTAATTCTAATGACTATTTCTTATTGTTAGACTGGGACAATGTCCAGACTGAGTCTGTATTTCTCCATGGTTTTAAAGCTGAAGATTAATATGTTTTAAGTTGATATCTTTTTATTATTTCCATGTATTTAATGTTAAGGTTATATTTCCATATTTGGTGCTTTCCCATTCATTTAGGTTGTAATATAGAACATATTATATAACGGCTTTATTCTATCATTTTGTTTGATTTCGTTTTATTAAATAACTGAACATTATGTTGTCGAGGTATTCTACAGATTAGATGAAGGTTAAAATTATGCATGTTCTGTACTGTTTGAAATTTGGTGGACATTGGAGTGAAGAATTCCTCTTAATAAGTCTAAATATAGATTCTGGCCCGGCATAAATTTGTAATAAAACTATGTACGAGTGAAGAAACAAAAAGTTTCACAGATGTCAAGTTTTTCACTTGGCAATATATCAAACAATTAACAATAAAAATTTTTAAATCACCTGAAATCTATAAAATTATTGAATAAAGCCTGTTATAACTCATAGCTTGTATTGTATCTTATATTATGTTGTTTTTATGCAAGAAGTATCTATTCATATAATACTGTAAATAATTTTAATTATCTCATCAAGTTTGCTATGGAGAAGATTTTATTGTTATAAATGTATTTATTTTCTATTTTGTTCTGTAAAGTCAAAGCTTTTGTAGTACAAAATTCATTAAATCTTTATTTACAAAAGTTTTTTGATCATAGGCGTAGGCCTACAGGAAGAAGGCCTGTCGAGGGACAGACTGGTTTGCTCGAAATTTTTCAACGAATTTTACCTGTATTTCACGCCTATGTAGTTGATCGAGTCTTTACTGGCATTTGAATAGCCATTAGAGATCAACTGTAGTACTGTCCGTCAAAGGCTTTAAATATTAAAAGATTC